CTGTGAGTAAGCCCTCACCCACACTCCTGTAAGCCCTCACCCACACTCCTGTGAGTAAGCCCTCACCCACACTCCTGTGAGTAAGCCCTCATCCACACTCCTGTAAGCCCTCATTCACACTCCTGTGAGTAAGCCAATAAAAATGCAGTCGTTCACCAAGTCAGACTTTGGTACAATCATTACTTTGGTCTGTCATAAATTCCCTATTCTGCGGTGAATGGGTGTGTGTGTGTGTGTGTGTGTGTGTGTGTGTGTGTGTGTGGTGTTTCCCCAGAAAAACCACACACACACCACTTCCAGGCTTGCCTGCTCCGCCCAATCCTTGATGGTTCACCAACTCTGAGCAGTGTGAAGCTCTGTCTCAAGATCTCCTGGAAGCTACGCCAGAGGCGTGGTCGATGACATCACTGGCTGTGGGAAGCGGAGCCCAGTACCTAGGCCCTGTCCGTGTCAGGAAGTCTGGGTTGGAGCAAGAGCCAATGCTCTCCTCCTATGGTTGCTCCAGGCCCACTCGGGAAGAACTCTGGTGTGCAGGAAGGCGCTGACTGTCGTAGTAAAAGATGTGCCCGCCGCCTCTGTCACTGTGAATGCTCCAGGGGCTTTGGGGGCTCTGTGCCAGGAACCAGGGACAAGGGCAGGCATGTAGCTCATGTCTCAATGGAGTACTTGACTGACCTGGAAGGTCCCTCACAACCACAACATTCAACAGTTACATCATCTTGGGGCTGGTGAGATGGTACGGTGGAGAAAGTCACTCACCACTAAGCCTAACAACCTCGGTGTGATCCCTGGAACTCCAGGGAAGAAGAGAACAGACTCCCCAAGTTTTTCTCTGACCTTCACACACACGGTGGCATGCCCGCCCCCCACAAATACAAAATAAATAGACAAATCAACAAATAAATGAAATTTTAAAAAGCAACCAAAAACAGCCACAAAGTGACCCTAATACCAGAAGAGGACAGATCGCAGGTTTTCTGATTCCTAACCTACCTATTTAATATTAAATCATTCTTCGGGGATCAAATTCTTTATTTTGAGATACCGGGTAGCCCAGGCTGGCCTCGAACTTACAGCAATCTTGCCTCAGTCTCCCCAGTGCTGGGATTGCAGGTATCAGCCAACATGCCCAGTCTAAGAACTAAATTGTCCCCAAGGGAAGTGGCTCTTAAGAGGTGGCAGAGTGGTTTCCTGTCTGACTCAAGCCCCGTTTTACCCTCCTTAAGTCTCGCTGTTTCTTGTTCAACATCACTGTCAGTAATCAGCACAGGTACAAACAGGTAACACACACCAAAACATCATTTAATCTCACCAGCCTCTCACAAATTCTGAGGGGTAACTCACCGTTTTAGAGTTCTTAGCGTCACGCATGAGCCTCTCTGCAGACTTCAAGTCCTCCTGAATGGCGCCTCCCCCACAGTTGCGTAAGGAGTTGAGGTGGTCTTGAACTTTGACACACACTCGGTCGATCATCTGCTCAGAATCCCAGTCAGGGCAGAAAGGAGAAGGAACAAAAGGAGGTGACAATTTGAGAAAGCAATGCACGAAGTTCAAAACTCTAGCTGGAATCTTCCAGAAGAGGTTATAACCAATTATTAAAATAGTTTAACTGCTCATGCAAGAAACATTGTGACAGTAACTCTAGCAAAAGACCTGAGGCGTCTGGCCGCTTTCCTGCCTTAAAAAGAACAAAGGGAGCGCTTGCTGATGACGCAGCTCTTGTCCCCTGCTACCCCGCAAAAGTGCCCACAGAAACAGACAAGCCTTGCACGTTGCTGAGACCAGCTGAGACCAGTGATGAAGCAACGGAATGCTGACAAGCGTCAGTCGGTCTCGGGAATATCACAGGAACCAGGACAGACTCTGGGAATTGACATTTTGAATATTCTAGTATAGAACGTACTTCTCTTTACATATTGAGAGACACTAAAACAAGCAATTTAGAGTGCTGGGGTGCAGCTCAGCTGGCAGAGGGCTTGTCCAGCACCCATGAAACCCTGGGTTTGATCCCCAGCACCGTAGAAACCGGGTGGGGTGGCGTACATCAGTAATCCCAGAGCTTAGGTGTAGGAACATAAGGATTGTGAGTTCAAGGTCATCCTCAGCTACACAGTGAGTTGGAGACCAGCTTGAGCTGCATGACACCTTGTCTCAGTAAATAAAGGTGGGGTGTGTTTTATTATATTAACACAGGTAACAGTAAAGTTCCAGTAGCATCTCCCTCACAGGTTAATAGCACTTGAATCATTGTCAGCGATTCCACAGACTGAACTATAAAAACCCGAAGTAAGAGGCAGCCATTATGTAGATGACATTTGTAACAAAAGGTTAAAGTGATGTCTTAAAATCACTTTCACTTATGTTTATATGTGTGTGTTTGTATATAAATATGTGCACAAACACAGACCAAGGTGTCAGATCCCCTGGAGCTGGAGTCACAGGTGGTTGTGGGCTGCCCAACATGGGTGCTGGGAACTGAACTCAGGTCCTCTGGAGGAGTATAGGGCCTCAACCCCTAAGCCATCTCTCCAGCCCTGTGACACTCCTCTGAAATTTTACCTCTAGGAACATGAAGAAAATGCTGGGTCCGAGTACAGCCCGTCCTCACAGTGTGCCTCTCTGGCATTTTGATCAGAGCTAAGGCTATCTCATGTCTTTTTAAAAATATTTATCTATCTTATTTTATGTCTATATGTGTGTGCCTGCTTGTCTATAAGTACACTGCATGAATGCAGGTGCCTGCAGAGGCCAGAAGAGGGTATTGGATCCTCTGGAACTTGAGTTACAAGCAATTGAAAGCTATCATGTGGGTGCTGGGAACCTAACCTGGGTCCTCGGTAAGAGCGGCCAATGCTCTTAAGCACGCAGCTCTCTCCAGCTTCTGTTTCAGGGTCTTAAAAAAACTGTTTAGCCAAGCACTCAGCATTTGGAAGGAGGGTCAGGAGTGCAATCATCTTCAGCTACATAGCAAGTTCAAGGCCAGCCTGGGTTACAGGAAACCTGTCTCAGAAAAAAACCAACACACACATACACACACACACACACACACACACGCACATACACAAAAACAGCTGCTGGGCTGGTGAGATGGTTCAGTAGGTGACAGTGCTTGCCACCAAGTCTGATGACCTGAGTTAGATCCCTAGAACCTACGTGGTAGGAGAGAACCAATTCCTATAAGCTGCCCTCTGACCTTTGCATGTATGTCACAACACACACACACACACACACACACACACACACACACACAAATAACTGTGTAAAAATATTCCGAGTGTTTCAGAGAGCTTGCAAATCAATGTCCTGTCCCATCTGAAGTCATTCAGCCAGAGACAATTTAATTGCTCTTTTAAACTTTTACCTTCTTCAATTTGTTTTGAATGATTTGATGTCACATCAATAGGAAGTTGAAGTCTGTCTTCTTCTTATCAATTCCAAAACAATCATTTTCATAGTGACTCAGATCAGTGCTCACTGACAAAATGGTCCTCGCTGGAATATACCCTCCCTGAATTTGATGTTCCATCCAGAACCCATGAAGTAAGACTCCTCAATAAAATATATAACATGGCAGGAGAAGGCAAGGCACAGAACTGAATCACCAGCTCACCTCCCACCCTCTAAGTAGGATACTACCACCAATGTGGTAGAAGTGAGGCTGGTTTTTCCAGCAACCATGTTAAACAACTAACTCACGCTACGTTTGCAGGGACTATGAAGACTCTATAAATATAGTGCCTGCTGAACCCAAGTGCATGACGTCCCAGCACTAGCAACAAATGCAATCTTGGAGCACTCACACTTTGTCACCACTGCTCCTGGTCCAGCACACAGCTTATCTGGGGAAACTGCTCTTTTCTTCTTTCTTTCTTTCTTTCTTTCTTTCTTTCTTTCTTTCTTTCTTTCTTTCTTTCTTTCTTTCTTTTTACTGTTTTATTTATTGTCTTTACTTTACATGTATGAGTGAATTGCCTGCATCTGTGTAAGTGCACCTGTGTGGTGCAGTGCCTGCAGAGGTCAGAAGAGGGTGTTGGATCCCCTGGAACTGGAGTCATGGTTGATTGTCAGCTGCCATGTGGGTGCTGAGAATTGAACCTGGGTCTTGCAAAAGCAACCAGTGCTCTTAACCACTGACCTTCCTTTCCAGCCCCAGACTGTTTCTTGATTCAAGAAAAATACACTCTATACCTGATATTGAAGAGAAAAAAATCCTAAATAAGATAATACCCTTTGCTCTCAAGCAACTGAAAACACAGAAGGTGGAAACATTCACAACTAACAATATCACAAGGGCTAGGTGTGGTGGCCCATGCCTGTAAGCATCACACTTTGGAGGTGAGGCTGGAGAATCATGAGTTCAGGGTCGCCAGGCGTGGTGGCGCATACCTTTAAGCACTTGGGAGGCTGAGGCAGGTGGGTCTCTGTGAGTTCAAGACCAGCCCGGTATACATAGTGCGTTCTAGGCCAGCTGGGGCTACGGGGAGACCCTATCTCAGAAAGACACCCCTCCCCTGCAAAAAACAAAACAAAACAAAACAAAGCCTAATGTGGCTTTTACAAAGTTTCCTGGCACCTGATTAAGAGGGTTTATCTGGTTAGGGAAGAAGAACTCAAAAGCAGAAGGAGAACGGTAAATCTTGACAAAATAAACTTTCCTAGTCAAAGTCAACAGGCAGAAACAACACAGAAAGAGACGAGGGATTTCAGCATTTCCCTCAAACGCTGAATCCCTCTCCCTTCACCTGGGGAACGATGACTGGTTAGGAGGTGACAGGGACATTTGTCACAGAGGGGCTATTCTTTCTGAATTCAGATGTCTGAGCAATTCAAGGTAAATCTTCCCTAAAGCCCGTGAAATGATTCAAGTCTGAAAATAGCTAATTAAAAAATCCCCAAAGTGGAAAGGTAGTAATATACCCAACATGTAATGACTCAAATAATTCAGAGCGAGCCACCTGTGCGGAGTTAAGTGTCCGCATGCCTCCCCTGGGAGCAGCCGCCGTCCACCGAGTCACAGCACATGCCATGATGGATAATCACTAAAGATGGCTACAGAGATTTGG